CGGTGCTCTCAGGGGCCCTCTCAGGGGTGACGGCGATCCCAGGGGCTCTCCTAGGGGCCCTCTCAGGTGCGGTAGAGACCCCATAGGCCCTCGCAGGGGCAGAGGCGGTCTCAAGGGCCCTCCCAGGGGCGGGGGAGGCGCCCCTCCAGGAGCCCTATAGCTTGCTTGGTCATGGTGTCGTACATATTGCATACTTTCAGCAATCCTTTACTTAACTGTGATTGGTGGACTAAAATAAAAATCCGCCAACCAACAGCCAATAGGAGAACAGAGCAGTCAGTCAGCACAACACCCCAACTTATGTTTTCCTGTTGAATATTTATTCTCCTTTACATTGTTCATGGTGAGATGATACTGGGAATGTGATGGGTAGTGTATTTATTTAACGTCATATTTCCCATTGTTCTAAACAGTGCAAAACCAACTGCTCCCAGGGACTCTACAGGGACAATGCCCCCTGGGGCCCACCCAGGGGTGTCAGCGTCATTAGGAGCCCACCCAGGGGCGGCGGCGGACCCAGCGGCCCTCCCAGGTGCGATGGTGCTCTCAGGGGCCCTTTCAGGGGTGACGGCGATCCCAAGGGCTCTCCTAGGGGCCTTTTCAGGTGCGGCTGAGACCCCAAAGGCTCTCACAGGGGCAGCGGCGGTCTCAAGGGCCCTCGCATTAGCAGGTGAGCCGCCAGGTGCCCTACCAGAGGCGCCCTTCTAGAAGCCCTATAGCTTGCTTGGTCGTGGAGTCGTACATATTGCATACTTCCAGCAATTCTTTACTTAACTGTGATTGGTGGACTAAAATAAAAATCCGCCAACAAACAGCCAATAGGAGAACAGAGCAGTCAGTCAGCACAACACCCCAACTTATGTTTTCCTGTTGAATATTTATTCTCCTTTACATTGTTCATGGTGAGATGATACTGGGAATGTGATGGGTAGTGTATTTATTTAACGTCATATCTCCCATTGTTCTAAACAGTGCAAAACCAACTGCTCCCAGGGACTCTATAGGGACAATGCCCCCTGGGGCCCACCCAGGGGTGTCGGCGTCAGGAGGAGCCCACCCAGAGGCGGCAGTGGACCCAGCGGCCCTCCCAAGGGCGATGGTGCTCTCAGGGGCCCCCTCAGGGGTGACGGCGATCCCAGGGGCTCTCTTAGGAGCCTTTTCAGGTGCGGCTGAGACCCCAGGGGCTCTCGCAGGGACGGCGGTGGTCTCAAGGGCCCTCCCATTAGCGGGTGAGCCTCCAGGGGCCCTACCAGAGGCACCCCTCTAGAAGCCCTATAGCTTGCTTGGTCGTGGAGTCGTACATATTGCATACTTCCAGCAATTCTTTACTTAACTGTGATTGGTGAACTAAAATAAAAATCCGCCAACCAACAGCCAATAGGAGAACAGAGCAGTCAGTCAGCACAACACCCCAACTTATGTTTTCCTGTTGGATATTTATTCTCCTTTACATTATTCATGTTAAGATGATACTGAAAATGTGATGGGCAGTGTATTTATGAACGTCATATCTCCCATTGTTCTAAATAGTGCAGAAACGACTGCCCCCCAGGGACTCTAAAGAGACAATACCCCCTGGGGCCCTCCCAGGGGTGTCGGTAACCTGAGGGACCCTCCCAGGTGTGTCGGCGTCCAAAGGAGCCCACCGAGTGTTGACGGGGGACCGAGCGACCCTCCAAGAGCCGGCGGTGCTCTCAGGGGCCCTCTCAGGGGTGACGGCGATCCCAGGGGCTCTCCTAGGGGCCCTCTCAGGTGCGGTGGAGACCCCATGAGCCGTTGCAGGGGCAGAGGCGGTCTCAAGGGCCCTCCCAGGGCGGGGGAGGCGCCCCTCCAGGAGCCCTATAGCTTGCTTGGTCATGGTGTCGTATATATTGCATACTTACAGCAATCCTTTACTTAACTGTGATTGGTGGACTAAAATGTAAATCCGCCAGATAACAGCCAATAGGAGAACAGAGCAGTCAGTCAGCACAACACCCCAACTTATGTTTTCCTGTTGAATATTTATTCTCCTTTACATTGTTCATGGTGAGATGATACTGGAAATGTGATGGGTGGTGTATTTATTTAATGTCATATCTACCATTGTTCTAAATAGTGCAAAAACGACTGCCCCCAGGGACTCTAAAGGGACAATGCCACCTGGGTCCCTCCCAGGGGTGTCGGTAACCTGAGGGACCCTCCCAAGTGTGTCGGCGTCCGAAGGAGCCCACCCAGGGGTGACGGCGGACCGAGCGACCCTCCAAGGGCCGGCGGTGCTCTCAGGGGCCCTCTCAGAAGTGAATGCAATCCCAGGGGCTCTCCTTGGGCCCCTCTCAGGTGCGGTGGAGACCCCATGGGCTCTCGCAGGGGAGGCTATAGTCTCAAGGGCCCTCCCAGGAGCGGTTGAGCCTCCAGGGGCCCTACCAAAGGTGCCCCTCCAGTAGCCCTATAGCGTGCTTGGTCATGGAGTCGTACATATTGCATACTTCCAGCAATCCTTTACTTAACTGTGATTGGTTGATTAAAATATAAAATTCGCCAACTAACAGCCAATAGGAGAACAGAGCAGTCAGTCAGCACAACACCCCAACTTATGTTTTCCTGTTGGATATTTATTCTCCTTTACATTGTTCATGGTGAGATGATACTGGAAATATGCTGGGCAGTGTATTTATTTAACGTCATATCTCCCATTGTTCTAAATAGTGTAAAAGCAACTGCCCCCAGGGGCTCTACAGGGAAAGAGCCCCCTGGGGCCCTCCCTGGGGTGTCGGTTCCCCTAGGAGCCCTCCGAGGGCCCTTCTCAAGGGAGGTGGCGCCCCAAAGGGCCTTCAAGGAACGGCGGCAGACCCAGGGTCCCTCCCAGGGGCAGCGGCGACCCCAGGGGCTATTCCTGGGGCTTTGGCGTCCCAATGGGCCATCCCAGGGGCAGCAACACCCCCAGGAGCTCTCCCAGGGACTTCGGCGCTTCAAGGGCCCTCCATGGGTGAGGGTGTTTGAGGGTGAGGGTGTGAGGGGGTAAGGGAGAGGGTGCGAGTGGGTAAGGGAGAGGGTATGAGGGGGTTAGGGTGAGGGTGTGAGGGGGTAAGGGAGAGGGTGTGAAGGGGTAAGGGAGAGGGTGTGATGGGGTTAGGGTGAGGGTGAGGTTGTGAGGAAGGGTGTGATAGTGAGCGGGGAGACGACGATGATGCACGGGGCTAATGAGCATTAGGGTGTGTCATACGGAGGCGAATTTTTTTTTTTTGAGTTTGAAAAATCGGCCCATGGTATTAATGATGTAGTTCTATGTGCAGAATCATGTGATATCTTCAGATTTGAAAAGTTTTCATTTTTCGCTAGGTAAATTTTAACGTGAAATCTGATGAAAATTCAGTATTCCCACCCTTTTACCAACACCACTAAATAGCTTATTTAAAGTAAAGTAAATGTATCAGGTTAATTTATTGGGATGAAAATGATCCAGAATAGAGAAACGAATGATCTTGACACATTTATTAAATTTTAATATTCCTTTAGAAAACAAAATCATCAAATACAAAAACCGGTTTTACTACTACGACCCAGTGTTGCTGCACACCATAGAGAACATGTCTTTCTTGCTTCTGTTTCTACTCATCACCTCCCTGCTGACCACCTGAGCTCGGATGTAGCCTTCCCTCCTCTCCTGGCTGTACACGTGACTGCTGGCCTCACTCACTTGCTGTACACAACGCTCTATACTCTGGGTGTGCGAGGGCCAGGCAGGGACATGCATGGGGTTGTCCAGGAAAGCTCTGACTTGAACATTGGTGAGGCTGCAGGTAAGAGGGGGCTCACTGCCAGCCTGGATGTTATCCAGATCTATGAGATCAGTGAGGGTCTTGGCACCTAGATTGACTTCAGGAGTCTTCCTGACCCTGAAGGAATCGTCACCAACTGATTCGCCATGTCCAGATCCTATCATAAGTCTCATATCCAAGATCTTTTTGACTGCCACTCTTCTCTCCTCCTCATCCTTACTGCAGAGCATTGTCTGCAGAACTGCCTCGGGATGAGCATTCCAGGAAGATCTCCTCACAGTCTGCTCCACAATCTGAACAACCTTCCTTGGCTGACTCCTCAGGAGCTCAAGCTGGAAGAGAACACGCCTCGGACCTTCGGAGAACGATGACTTGACCTTGGTGTTGAACCAATTTGGCAAGTAGACACTCACGATGAATTGGACAATAGATCTCCAGGTTGTGAAGCGTTGGTTCCTTTCGGTTTATGATGAGCGACCCAAATTCTGCAGAACCTAGCGAGCCGTTGTGAGCCACCTAGAATGTGAGACTGGACCTGTATCTCTGCAGATAGCAAGTCTATCGAGCATGACCCCAGTTTTGATGGCACTGCAAATCATGTAACAACCATAGTACTGGTCAGTACTCAGGTCGTCAATGACAATATGTGCAAGCTCAACGAGTGGAGGGCCAACTGTGATTTTTTCAAAGCTCGGATATATTTCTAACTCAGTGGCAGAGTCCAGTATCTTGCCAAGAGGACCAGACCATCTGTTGTTTGAAAGAGTCTTGCCATCCAGCTCCTGGATCAGATGTCTGAGTGGCAACTCGTTGGTGTGGAGGTCACATACAATCCAGACCAGCTTCCTCCCAATCTTCCGCTCTCTCCACTGTATGACCCCCCCTTGCCACCCCACTGTGTTGCGTGTTGGTGCTGTCCTCCAATGGCCTGCAGGGGGTCTGGTCTCTGATTCTCTCTCTGAGCCAGTTCACAATGTTATCTGCCACTATCTCAGCTGGTTTCCTGATGTCATCTTTCTCTGGAGTGAAATGCCACAAATACTTCCCTCCTGGTTCACTGCAGCAGGAGTAGTGTTCCTCCTTCACCATGGCAGGGAACAACTTGTCAGAATCTTCAACTTTCATGAACACTTTAGTGTCATCCCTTCTCCCATCAAAGAACAAACAATTGATTCCATTTTCTCTTATCCCCGTATCAAACTCCTCTTCTAGGTTACTGACAAGTTTCTCCTGAGCTCTCCTTACTTTGTTATGATCTATCACCAGGTGAACATCATCAGGTGTTATCAAACCACCGTCAATCCAGGCAGCTGTTGCTATCTCTGCAGTTTCTCTGAGACCAGTATTAACAATTATTAGCATGCTGACCCAGAGCTGCTCTTTCGGGATATCTTTCCTATTTCGAATCTTATGCCTGGAAGGTTTGGGATCGTGTTTTCTGGAGTTGAGGACAAAGTCTCTCACCCATTCTCCTGGTCAGCACTCAGATCCAGCCATGAAATCATTAAACCTCTCAATAATCAACGACTCCAATCATCGGCCCTTTTTACCTCACCCTGGGCCTTCTCAAGTCTCTTTTCCTCGGCAACTCTTCTCCTCTTCTGTCTCTCTGTGGCAGCCTCCTGTCTCTTGGACTCCGGAATATCTTGGCTAAAAATCATGAGAGCCCCTATACTGCCAGTCTTCTCTCTCTGTGCTTTGACAAATGCCAGTTCGATCACAGGAATCTTTAGTTCACGCTTGCAAATACAGGAGATGTGGGCCTCGGATTTACAGTCACGATCTTGCATCAAACTCAGGACAGAGAAGACAATTGGGCACTTGCAAGTAATTATGTCAAATAACTGGTCAGTTGCTTATGCAGCTGTCCCTTAACTGCAAGTTTTCCTCCCAAGAGATATCTCTTGCCTTTTCCCCAACTGACTAGCAGTCTCTCACTAATCTTCTTCTGACTTGGTATGACTGGAGGCTTGAACTGGCGCGATTAGCCAAGTGTACTATGCCAAGACAGCTTTGGTCATATCACTGGCAATGTCTTTGTTTATTGTAAGTTCTTTGGTTCTTCTTTTGACTGATTTTTCTGATTAAAACACCGTATCTCAAAGCATCTCTCAATGTAGGCAACTCCGACTTTAGGAGCTCTCTCCCAGACCCAAGATAGTGACTGAGATGGCTGGATTTTTGGTTCCTCGTCCTGACACAAGCAGCCATCGCAAATATTATCAACTTATAAATGCATCAGAATCTGAAACAGAAAAAAATATTGTTAGTTGGGTTGTTAAAGAATGAAGTCAGAAAGCAATGTTCACTATTTAATTGTAATGCACTAATGCAGCTGTACGTTAGATTTTCGATAAATTTCACGCTAAAATTTACCTAGCAAAAGGTTGCAAAATATTGAAACTGAAATATTTTCTGTTTATATACACTCAAATCTACCAAAAAAGTGATGGGCCATTAGTTTTAGCTGATCTTCCCTCCTATGACACACCCTACTGGGCATCCCATACCCCGAGTCTGGGGCAGCCACGTGTGTTGCCGGTAACATGTGGACAAGTGTTGGCAAGTATTAAGAGATATTAATAGTTTCAGTAAATGTTAATAGGATTTGATTCACGTTAACTGATGTTGGAAGGTGTTGACGGCATCTGATAAGTGTTGGCAGGTGTTGACGACAGCTGATAAGTGTTGGCAGGTGTTGACGGCAGCTGATAAGTGTTGGCAGCTGTTAACGGCATCTGATAAGTGTTGGCAGGTGTTGACGGCATCTGATAAGTGTTGGCAGGTGTTGACGACAGCTGATAAGTGTTGGCAGGTGTTGACGGCAGCTGATAAGTGTTGGCAGGTGTTGACGGCATGTGATAAGTGTTGGCAGGTGCTGACGACAGCTGATAAGTGTTGGCAGGTGTTGACGACAGCTGATAAGTGTTGGCAGGTGTTGACGGCAGCTGATAAGTGTTAGCAGGTGTTAACGGCATCTGATAGGTGGCAAGTGTTGACGGCATCTGATGATATTAAGTGTTGGCAGGTGTTGATGGCAGCTGATAAGTGTTGGCAGGTGTTGACGGCAGTTGATAAGTGTTGGCAGGTGTTGACGGCAGCTGATAAGTGTTGGCAGGTTTTGATGGGAGCTGATAAGTGTTGGCAGGTGTTGACGGCAGCTGATAAGTGTTGGCAGGTGTTGACGGCAGCTGATAAGTGTTGGCAGGTGTTGATGGGAGCTGATAAGTGTTGGCAGGTGTTGACGGCAGCTGATAAGTGTTGGCAGGTGTTGACGGCAGCTGATAAGTGTTGGCAGGTGTTGACGGCAGCTGATAAGTGTTGGCAGGTGTTGATGGCAGCTGATAAGTGTTGGCAGGTGTTCACGACAGCTGATAAGTGTTGGCAGGTGTTGACGGCAGCTGATGAGTGCTGGCAGGTGTTGACGGGGAGCTGATAAGTGTTGGTAGGTGTTGACGGGAGCTGATAAGTGTTGGCAGGTGTTGACGACAGCTGATAAGTGTTGGCAGGTGTTGACGGGAGCTGATAAGTGTTGGCAGGTGTTGACGACAGCTAATAAGTGTTGGCAGGTGTTGACGGCAGCTGATAAGTGTTGGCAGGTGTTGACGGCAGCTGATAAGTGTTGGCAGGTGTTGACGGCAGCTGATAAGTGTTGGCAGGTGTTGACGACAGCTGATAAGTGTTGGCAGGTGTTGACGGCAGTGTAATGAGACAAATCTCACAAGAAGAGAATTACATATATAGGTAGGAAGTATAGAGAGTAGGAATGTAAAGATAGTAAACTTGGTAGCGTGGCCTGGATGTTATTTGCACAGCGTCACTACGCTTATCTTAGCTCGTTTGTCAATACACATATCACTCCTTAAAGGGACAACTTGTTAAACACCTCTTGATACAACTATTTATTACTTCACTCAATGAAATGGACACATTAATATCACTATTATATCGGGGTACTAACACATTATGCTTTACGTTACTTGACACTGACTCTCGGACACACCTGAATGAATACACTTCCCACAGTAGGTAACTCACCCTAGGACGTTCTGACAAGACTCACGTGTGACAAGACTCACGTGTACCCTGACGTAGGCCCAGTGAGTGCTGGCTGGGCTGCCTCCTATGGGAGAGTCTGCTTAGCTGGCGATGCCGTGGTCTGGTCGGGAGGTCTCCCTCCCAACCTGGGGAGGGGACGTGCGTGACT